AGGCGATGTTTTGGGGGCAGGTTGGGACGCCACTTGGGCCGGCCCACTTGTTGGGCTTTGAGCGCCTTCGAAGAAGGATTGAGTGGCCGTGGTCCAGTCTTCAATTAGTTGGGCCGCTCTCATAACCTTTCGTAGCCCAGTGATCTCCCTACTCAAAATCTCAGCCTTGATCAATGGGTGAAGCCCGTTTAAGAAGGTTCCCTCCAAAACCTCTTCTGACAGTCCTCGTACGGGCGCTGAGAATTCCTCAAACATTCGACAATAGTCTGCCACTGCCCCCGTCTGTCGTATTGCCAGAAAGCGAGCGCAGAGGTTGCCTTCCTGCAATGGCCGGAACTGTACAAAGAGCCTGACCTTTAGGTTGTCCCATCCGACGAATTCCTGGTTGTCTCTTGTCTCCCACCGGTACCACGATAAGGCGTCGCCATTGAAGTTGATAACTGCCACTGTTACCTTCTCGTTGTTCGTCAACCTGTGGATGTTGAAATACCTTTCGGCCCTAAACAACCATCCGTCAGGGTCGTCACCGTTAAAAACCGGCATCTCCACCTTCTTAAACTTGCTCCGGTCATAATAGCCTTCTTCCGTCTTCCCCATCAGGCTGGTCTCCTCCCTGACATCGATTGTCAACTCGATTCCTCCCGTTCCTTCAGGTTGCTTTCGCTTTACTCCGGAGGCGTCTCCGCCAGCGGAAGTTCCACCTTTTGATTTTGCTAACTCCGTGACCAGCATTGCCACGACCTTCCCTTGTTCCTCTATCCAATTGGATGACCTATCCAACTCTTCCATCCGATTGGATAACCGATCTAAGCTTTCCTTGATGCTCACCATTTCTTTCTCATTACTCTCGCAACGCTCTTCCAGCTGTCTCTGCGCCATTCTTCTCGTCCTCCCCAAGATTGAAGGCTCTGATACCAATTTGTAAGGTATCTCCTTACTCACTGATATTCAAAACAAGAACAAACAAGAGCCCTAAGGCTTACAATGGGGCCCAACCGTTAGAGAGGGTTGGGAGCTCTCCTACCAAGACAAACCTTCCAAAAGACAAAACATATCATCTCTAAGATGGACCCCCTTACATAAGTACTACCCCATACAAAAGACTTGCCAAACAAACAACTAAGGAGAATTTACCCCTTCGCCCTTCCTAACATAGGTATTCACAATAGGGGGCCTCACACAAGGGCATACAAATACTACAGCCCAACGAAAGAAGGCTCACCTAAGTAAAGGGACTCGAATCTAAAAGGATACCACTAAACTGATAATTACAAACAACTTAGAAACCGACCACGTAGGGAAGTAATAAATTTTAATGATCTCCCATACATACTCCTTGGTCACTCCATCCCCAAAAATTTATTCTCTCTCTCAATACAAACCCCACAAAGTAGCAAAGACTTTTACGAAAATCAGGCCACTACTCCTCTGGCTCTAACTGACCACAAAACAGCACAGAACAAGTCTGACACAGAAATCTTCCCTAGGAGAAGACAACAAAATCTCCTCCATCAAAGCCCAGCAACCCTGGTTATATCCCTCCATCAAAAACAACAAAAAGTTTGATCAAAAGTTAGCAAGCAAAAGCTGTAACAAAAGTTTTTCAGATAAGTTTAAGGTCTAGTTTCTATGAGAAAAAGAGTAAATGTATGGTCCCTACTGACTTCTTTTTATGCTAGACTATGACCCAATGACTGATTTTGTTAATCAATACAGCAAAACTCGCTAACACTTCTATTTCATGCTATTTGAAGTTGCAGTACAAAAGAGCTTCCCAAAACAGAACTTATTATTGATATTACAGGTAGAAACAGAAGGAGATCCAGAAAAATAACTTCCCTTGGGAGCAAAAGAAACATTCTGTTCCTCAAACAGCCACAAAAAGAAACAAAAAGAGAACATGCAAGCACAAGCCGAAAAAACTCTAAAGATCAAAAGAGTTTGCTGATTAAATTTGAAGATTTATGAAAGCTACAGTTATATGTATTTGTGACGGTGTCATGGTTACTGAATCTCAATAAAAGGTCTTCGAACAATTTTAAAGAATCCTGGGGAGGAAAATGTGATGGGCTAACAAGATCTACTGTTGATCCCAGGACAAAGTTTCAATGACAGATAGAAGTTTGAGATCAGTATTACAATCAATAGTTTCAAAAGCTTTAACCAATTCAGGAGAGGAAAAAGTGAGTATTGGTACCATCTATCGAAAAACGAGCCAATCTAGATGCTCCCATCCTCTTAAACAATGGATCCTTGACTTGTAAGAGCGCCACAGATTGCTGCATCAAGTCATCCCCTGTAGGAACAAATCTAACTCAACACAACGCCGTAAAGGGTTCGAAAACTAGAAATATTTCACATCCAAAGAAATAAAAAAACGCAATTTAGAGACAACGTTTACAGACCCATGTATGGAAAAATCTGGTATCCCAGAAATGTGGCAGTCCCAGCAAAGATTAGTTTCAATAACCATCCTACTTTTCTTTCAGCCTCCTTCTCGATCTCTGGAATTAACTCAATCTCAATCAGGCATTTAACAACAGTTAGAAAGAGCATGGAAACTCATCCAGTTCCTCTTACAAATTGAAAATATTCTTCTAGATCGAAGAGTAACCCACATCTCCAAACTTTTCTTAATGAATATCAAAACTCTACTTCAAAAAATTCTTAAAAAAAAAAGTCATAAAAGCACGAGCATATGAAAATAAGATTAACTGTATACTGAAATTTCTAATAATTGGTTAATTACAAGGTTCTAAGATTAAAAAAAATAATGATATTAATTAAATGATAGCCATCTAATAAGAAACCCTTAAATCCCATCTGGGAAACCAAACAACCCCTGTCTTCGGATGATAGAAAATAGAGCGATCGCCTCGAAAGAAATCAAAAGAAAACAGAATTTACCGCTCTCGGTGTAAGCTGAAAAAGTGCGAAATTGCAGGGTCCGCACAGGCTCTCTTCTGCAGAGATACTGAAACAGATGCATGTAAGGGGAAAAACCATGGAAGAAATTTCTCGAAGTTCGTGAGAGCGAGAGGAGAATTTTACAGCGTTAAGCTTCGGTTTGAGAATGCTCATGGTGCTGAACGGAAGCTCGGCCGCCAGCTCCGGCGCTGTGTCGACTCCGTCTTGCGGTTTTTATTGATTGACTTCCCAACTTCCCAGTGTTCTACTGTTCAAAACAATGAGCCTAAAAGAACACTGGGAAGTTGGGAGTCAATCAATAAAAACCAGAAACATCATAAACAAGATGAGTTTGACATTCACATGTATATAAAAGATTAAATATACTCTAATCTACCGGACACTGAGCACACTAACTTTTATCTCTACAAGTCAGAGCAATCAGGCGGTTAGAAGTTGCAGAACAACAGCTCCCTACGAGACAAAGGAGGATCATCATCAATGACACCACCCAGAGGTCCATTTCTTTCTAGTTGCTACCTTTGACCTCAGTGATTTCTTCTGTAGGGAGGCTGAGTCTGGCATTTCATCTCCAATTTGGAGCATCCGAACAAGTTTCTGCAGACCTTTTGGCTCTTGCGCTAAATTTAGAGGAAGTGGTTCAAATCTACATTTTCGAAAAATGCAAAATTTCTTCTACTGTTTAGCTTCTGGTCTATGTCCCGTCCCTAATTTTTATGTTTTGCTGATTCAAGGTACCCATTATAGATCTAGCGAAAATCAACCCATAGGATGCATAGTGCTTACAAACAAACACTAGAAATGGAGTGTCCTGTGAGAATTCAGTCGCGACACCCAGTTGCAAGTTGCAAAACACACGTTCATGACAATATCTACAGACGACAATTACAAAACTAGTGTACGTCGCGGCTGGTTGGGCCTCAAGGAGTTGGAAGAACATGGGAATCGGATTACCGTTGGGATATTCGGATTGTTGAGCCTCAAGGAAGCAAATCGCCAGTGCGGAAACAGAGTTCGCCCGCCGGTCTGCTTGTTGAGCTCCGTTTCCTCGTGGAATGTTTTGGTAGAAGTTTGGGAAGCCTCGAAAAATATGAGTGTCGCCGAATGTCGCGGCTGCAGGTTCGTCGCCGGAGAGAGGAATCACGTCGCCGGCGAGAAATGGGGCTGGGACGAGGGAGGAAGGGAAGGAAAACAGATCGAGGGAGAGAATGAGGGAAAGAGGAGTTGCGACCAAACTCAAAAGGATTTTTAAAAATTTAGGAAAAGATTAAGGAGAAAGGATTTTAATTAAAAAATATAAAAAAAATATCTCTTTTCAAAATTCAAAAAATAAATTCGTTTAAACTATTAAATCCATTCTTTTAAGTACAAATCCAAATTATAAGTCGAGAAAAAAAAAACAAATCTAAAGTAGAGGTGATGAAAAGAATGTGAAAAACCGACCTAAGTAATGTTGCTTGATTGGTTTGACTACTGATTCCATAAATTGGGTGAATTGATTTTAAAACCATCTTTTGAAAATACAAGTTTTCTACCCTGTTGCTCGGATACCAATGGGGCCATCCCTGGAATTTTTGGCAAGGGTGGGGTGGGATTCCCAATTATTTACTTATAACGATATTGGGTCACCACCAATGTTTCCAATTTCGAGCAACATGTCGATGTGTCGAGCAATTGGATTACTATCACTGTTTCAAATTTCGAGCGACATGTCGACGTGTAGATCACCTCCACATTGATACGAGGGAGAATGTCGTTTTTTCTAATGTCGACGGTATGTCGAGGAAATATCCAGGACATGTCGTTTTTTTTTTACTTATAATCTATAATTTTTTTTTTAATAATTTGAAAAGATATGGTGTCGATGGATATTCAGTTAAATAATTTGCTCATTCAAATTTGGCCAGAGATTATATGTTTATTTGAATTCAAAGAAAATATCATCTTTGAGTTAAATTATATCACCACTATTTGTCTATAATAAATTTTATTTTTCAAATTTTATACCTATTTCACATATTTTGTTTAATTATGTAACTAAAATTATATTTGATCCATAAAACATAATCAAT